CTGAAGTTCAGGTGGAGCTCTACAGATTTTGGAGTTATCCAGCTGCGTCTGGCTTAGGTCTGGCTGCTGTGCTCAGCTCCTTCCTGCTGCGGACCTGGGTATGATTGTGTCTGGAGGTTCCTGGAACTCGGCAGAAATTCCGGACCTGAGCTAGGACTGGGTCTGGGGGTTCCCGGAAGTGGGCAGAAATTCCTACTGGGCGGGAGGGGTGGGGTGCGGCCCGAAGGGGCGGGAGAGTGTCTGGCTCTCGCTGCACCTGCGCTGGGACTGGTCCCGCCGGCGCAGGGTAGCAGGAAGCTCTCCACACACTCCCCGGACCTGGGCTAGGACTGGGTCTGGGGTTCCCGGAAGTCGGCAGAAATTCCTACTCCTTGTACTAAAATTTAACTTTGACTTTGTTCTCAGTTTACAAAATTGGCCAAGAATGCCTGAAAACTCTATCACATGGTATTCAGCCTAGAGGGTGGGAAATAAGCACCTAGCTTGCGCTTTCTTTGTTTGCTTTTTTAACCAGTGGTGCTGTGCAGCTGGAGCCAAGTTCTTACCCCACCCTGTGAGCTTCAACTTTCTCACCTGTCTGGTGGGGATAATGCCGTTGGGGTGTTTGGCAGCGGTCATAAAGCAAACACAGTGCAGCTTGCTCCCTGGTCCCTTCTCTCTTTTCTGCTGGGACTGCGGTACTGGTGCTTCCTGCCATCCCAACACTGATTCTGGATGAAACTGGGCCTCCTGGTGGGATTGATTGCCATACACAGCAGGAGGAACTGAGAGGTCTGCAAAGGGCTGGAAGAGGGCAGGGGCTACAGCAGAGCCTGAGCATCACTTTTGTAAGAGCTAGCATTTGATCAGGAGGGTGTGACACAAAAACTTTATGACATTTCCCTTTCCCTGAGTTTGTATTGTTGCAGAGGAAATGGGGTTTTTTGTACACATGATTCAAGTGGGAAAATTTACAGTAAGTCCAGTCACTGTGTAATGTACATACTTAACTATGTCAGAGATTAAAGTGTTCCTATTAATAATAATCATTTCATGGACCTGATCAAGCTAAAGCAAATGTACAGCCTTTCCAGGCAGCTGCTCAGATTGCTGAGCTATCTCCCCAGCCTTCTATATCAAGCATTACTATAGCTACCTTCTCCTTTGTAACCACCTTTGTTCTTAATAAAGGAATATAGAATTCATTAGAAAAAAATAGTTGCATGGGACTTTTAATATGACCACAAACTTCACATTGTGTGGTATTTTGAATATATATGGACAAAATACTAAAGGCAAGTCAAAACATTTAAGATCCGAAGCAAAAATAGATCTGTTAGAAAAGATCCGAACATGTCATTGTGACTGTTGGAACCAGGCCTTGCATACCCACGCTATTTGCCATAAAACTAGCAAGAGATGGCCATATTTTAAAAATGATTTTTGGACATTTTGTTTGTCGTTCTCAGCAGTAATTCTGAAACCAATTGTTTCCAGTAAGGCCTTCAACCCAAATAATTGTAAGCCAGCATTGCTAGTGTTTAAAATGTGTGTTCTTGGGAATTCCTTATAACATTATAAGTAATCTTTATTTTTGTAGTAATTTGACACTAGAATGAACTAGTAGTTGTTTTGGTTGCAATTGGATGCTGGGACCACTCAAACTAAGCTTAAATTCTAGATCCCAACTATTAGCAGTTAAATTTAAGGTTAAAGTATGATTCCTGTTGTCCCTGGGTGCCTTAATGCCTCATTTTTATAAGAAAAATTGATGGGAGTAGGTACATCAGACCTTGCCATGAATATCCCATGGGTGAGGGAGAGGAAGCAGGGCTCCTCGCACATAGTAATGTTCAAACTTTTTTCTTCTAATTTCATCATTATCTTTCCCAAGTGAAGAGAGTTCCAAAAGTCTCACTTTCCCAGAAATCCTTATTCTAATTCTGATTCTTAATAATTTGTCACTGTTAGCCTGACTAATGAAAAACATCAATGCTTGGTCAAGCGTCAAAACACTGTCCTTTCTGCTCAGTAGGTCTGCTCTAGGAATTCTTTTCAATAGCTTTCTGGGCTGGCAAGATGAGAATGCATCAGAGAATGGGTCTTTATTGAGTGTGTTAATACTCATATTTTACACATGTGCGGCTTGAGGCCTTAGCATGGTATTAGAGCTCATGTTAAGCATGCTCCTTACCTACCCTCCCCAAAAGAACCTTAAGTTGTGTCCTCCAAATTGAAGAGTATTGATTCACAGCTGCCATGGGGGGAACTGTTGAAGACTACATGATGCAATTTAAGTGGGGCCATCTTTGTCTTGTGCTAGATCTGAGAGTAAAAGATTTCAGCTTTTCCCCATTTAGAATTATGTTAGCCATTGGGTTGTCATAGATGGCTTTTATCAGGTTGAAGTAGAGGCCATCTATTCTAATTTCTGTAGGACTTTGAACAAGAATGAATGTTGGACTTTGTCAAAAGCCTTTTCTGTATCAACTGAGATAATCATGTGGTTTTGGATTTGGCTCCATTGATATAGTGTATTACATTTATAGATTTGCGTATATTCAACCACCCTTGCATCCCTGGGATGGATCCTACTGGGTAATGATGTATAATCTTCTTGATGATTTGCTGGATTCTATTTGCTAGGATTTTATTGAGTATTTTGGCATCTATATTCATGAGGGAGATTGGCTTATAGTTCTCTTTTTTAGTTGCATCTTTCCCTGGTTTTGGTATCAGTATAATACTTGGCTCCAGGAATGATTTTGGGAGGATTGCTTCCTTTTCAGTTTCATTGAAGTTTGAAGAATGGGGCTGTTCAAGTTGTGTTTCATCTCTTCCCCCTCATCCACACTGCAATCCTGCATATAATGGAAGATGTTTACAGCCTATCTTTTCATGACTAACGTGTCATCTGAAGTTTAAGCAGGAGCACAAAGTGAAAGTAAACAAAATACTTCATTTTCCAATGATAAATATTCTCTCTCTCTCTCTCTCTCTCTCTCTCTCTCTCTCTCTCTCTCTCTCTGTCTCTCTCTCTCTGATGAATTTTGGAGACTTTACAAATCAGTTATACCGCACAGGTAAATGGAGAAGTTAGCAGCCATCATTTTCCCACTGCAGCCTGCTCCTTCCTGCACCTTCACACACTTTTTGTACTTTAAGATTAAATCCTGGTTTGAGTACAGAATAGGCACTTCTCCCCTCCCCCAGTTCATCTGCAGTTTCCCCATGAACAGATTCAACTGAACATGAATGGAAAGTTATTTAGCCACTGATCTGGTTAAAGAAGTCATCCTAGAATGGTTAGGGATGTCATTATTCTCTTAAAATATAGCAGAATGACTATTTACATAGCATTTTCATTGTATCAGGTATTTCAAAAATCTAGAGCTGTAAAGTATAGGGGCAGATGTATGTTTAATGCAAATACACTTACATGTGGGGCTAGAATTTCCCCTGATTCTGATATGCATAGGTGTGTAGGAACAAGCCTCAGTCATATCAGTTCAGCCAGTGCACTGGCCCTATGTTATTCTGAGTGTGGAAATACGAAGATGAGCATGTCTTAGGACGTGAGGAAATAGGAATAGAATTACAACAAATAGAGATTTGTTTGACCTTCTGCTTTTTTTACAGAAAAATCACCAGACAGTCCCCCTGTGGAGCAGGTCTTTGGTAAGTCATAGTATGAGTACTAGGTTAGTCTAAGAATCTTATACATTATAGCAGTTGTGGTGAACATTTAGATTTTCAGTGATACAGTCTGCTGCTACACATGTGTGCCATAGGTTTGCCACCATTGCATTAAAATATGTATCATTCTTTCAGAATCTCTCAATACACTAGTATGGGATTTTTGTTAATGAGATTTTTGGGAACTTCTGTTAAATGGCTGGATTCTCCTTCCCTGAGAGACTATCCCCTCATGCTGGAGTTGTAAAAGAAATGCCCAGAAAGAGCATCATGCAGACTGGGGCTTCATGATCCTGACTGCATCCTTTTTTTTTTTTTCCCCCAGAACCGGGGATTGAACTCAGGCCTTTGTGCTTGCCAGGCAAGCACTTATTCTACTGAGCTATCTCCTCAGCCCCCTGACTGCATCCTTTCAGCTGTTTTTCCCCATCTTTCCATACCAGCTTACAGCTGTGCCATGTGCAAGTTCTCTTCCTGTCTTTTTCTGAGAAGGGTCTCCATGCTTGGGCTTTCCTACTATGAGTATTTCACCCAGTCCTCTTGTCTGTCCTGCTCTCTCCTCAGTTGGTCCCAAGTGGTGCAGTCCTGCTACTACACAGTGGTCTGCACCCCAGAAGTCTGGGCAGCCTCTGGGAGTTAGAATGCTCTCCCAAGTACTGCCTCATATTTGATGAATTAGAACCCATGTTTCTGTAAGAGTCTCACTGACTCATGCCCAGTGGAGGTGTGAGCAGCACGGCCTGTACCATTGCTCGGCCTCTGGGTACTCTTTTGCTTAGATTTTTACAAATGTGGTCTTTTAGGACCTAATCCCCAATAGTACTTAGATCCCCAATCCTCAAGTGAAAAGATGGTGGTAAGCATGCTACAAATCTATTTACCACTTTGAAATATGCACCATATTATCATGACCTGTGGCCACCATGGTGAGGTAATGGGCATGTTAATTAACTTGCCTTTGAACAAGGTATTCATAGACCAAAATGTTACACTGGACCTAATAAATACAACTAGCATTGATGATGCAAAATAGATAAATGTATACTTGTATTACACATGTATTTTTTTTTGCCTCTCTTCACAAAGCTGTTATTGATTTAATAGGGACTGTTAATTTTGCATTTCCTAAAGTACATCTCTACTGAAGGACAGTTAGGAACCTGATGTTGTGCTCAGACTCAAGGTTTAAAGTGCTCGGATTACAATGATTTAAAGGTCCAGATTATACTCACGGAAATACTTGATCACAAATTGGTCCTTCTTGTTGTATATGGAAATAGAACTAGCCTTCTCGATTCCTCAGTCATTGAAATCCAATTTTTATTTTATTTTATGCAAGAAGCTCTTACTGATTGGGTGGATATATCCAATACTATGCTATTGAAAGGAAATGCAGGGAACAAAAATCATAGTCATTGCTCTGAAACAGCTTAGTCAACTATAACAAAATGACAATGTCATCCCATTAAAAGATCCCATGTCCCTAGACATGAACAATACTGTGAGATGCTACATTCTCATTTTCTATTTTCTTTATCGAATCACAGTGAATAAGATCTACTCAGCTTAATGAAGTATAAAAGGTATGCTGAAAATGATTGTTCTTAAAACCCTTTTAATGTTCAAGATTTTTTTTAAATTTTATTGATAAACAGATAGCAATGAGACAGTTTCAAATCAAATCGGAAGTACAGTTTCAACAATTAACACATTGCATATATTCTTAGTGGTTAATTGCTGTACAAGATGCGGACTTGAGATCCTATTTACAACAAACACCATTAGAACAAATCATTCTATTCACTAAGAGAATGCAACTATATATCTATCCTAATCACCATGAATTCACACATACAAAATGGATATTCATCTGTATACCCTATTTTTTCTAAGTTCCGTTATTGAATATTATAGGTGTGTAAACTTAGCAAAACATTCCAAAAGGGTCCAGCAGACCATAATAGCATTGGATCCTCTGTTTAACTGGCAATGTCAGAAATTATTGACCCGAGTCCCCCACAGCTCAACATAACAG